ATTTGGGGAAGGCTAAAATATGCAATCTGGGGAAGGCTAGGAAGAAAAGACATGACCCATGCTGGGTAAAGGCTTTCCAGTGTACATACTCTCAGGTCATACATATACCTCAGCAATCCCTCAGTTATCTCAGTAAGTAAAGTCAATAAATTCATTGGTTCCTCAGTAAAACTTTAATCAAACATTGACTTGACACTAGAACCTTAAAAGGGAATAAGCATTGCCTAGCATCCCAAGGAAAAGAAGCTTTACAACAGATGGAAAATTTATTTGTTAATGCTATTATGTCGCATAATGATTTTTAAAAATATTTTTATTTATTTATTATTTTTATTTTATGTGTATGAGTGTATTGCCTGCCATGCATATAAAAACACCTGTGTCCTGAAATGCCCATGGAGGTCAGAAGAGGGTATCAGATACCCTGGAACTGGAGTTACAGATGACTGTTAGCTGTCATGTGGGAGTTGGGAACTGAACCCAGGTCCTCTGCAAGAGCAGCTGGCTAGTGCTCTTAACTATTGAGCCATCTCTCCAGCCCCAACAGTGCCCTCCTCTCTCTCAGGCTCCAGTCCCCATCTCTCTAAGGCTCCTCTCTCTCTTCTCTCTGTGCATCTAGCTTCTCCTTGCTCTTTGCTTCTGATTCTATTTCTTAAATATATTTTATTTATTTTTATTTTATGTGTATGCGTGTATTGCCTGCATGTAGGTAAGTGCACTAGTATCATGCAATGCCTGCGGAGGACAGAAGAGGCTGTCTGATCCCCTGGAACTGGGGTTACAGAGAGTTGTTAGCTGCCATGTCGGTGCTGGGATTCAAACCCGGGTCTTCTGCAAGAACAACCAGTGTTCTTAACCACTGAGCCATCTCTCCTCATGGTTATGTTTTTATAACAAAGAAAATGAGAATGTAAAAGGTGTTAAAAGGATATGGGAATGGAGATATTTTCTAAAATAGAAAAAAAATGAGAAAGCCTAAGAAAGTGATGAAGGTCAGTGTAGGTTTGTTATGATATACAAAGGATAAGACAAAAATAATATACACATAATCTTAAAATTTCCGTGGTCATAATATAGACAATTAGTTTAAGGAACACAATATATATCTAGTCAAGGTTCATCTGAGAATATTTTGTTTTTTACCCAAGCCTTATCTACACACCAATGATAATTAAAAGTACCAGGCTTGTGGAACTAACCTTATTGGATGTTTAACAACCATAGTTTGAGGCTTATACTAATGTTGTCAGAGGGACTTAAAGGACAGTTTTTGCCCCTTGCCCTCCAAGGTTGACCAAATTCCAGGGGACTACAGAACATCTTTCAAAATATCCTATAACTGTGGTGAGTCACCTGTCCTCTTGATCAAGGAGGCTGTTGGAGACCCCACGAGATGGACTTGAACCAGTGTCCAGTCTACAAAGAGGAGGGTCAACACAGAGGAATCATTTCCTCCATGCTTCCAAGAAAAGCCAGCCATGGTCAAGCAGGACATTTGACTTATCCTCACATATATGGAACTTGTAAAAGAAAGGAGCCAGGAGATCCTCCCAAGCCCATGTGACCCCTGAGGAACAGATCCTCAAATGACCTTAAGTGTAAAAATAAACTGATTTATTTGGGCCAACTGCACGGTTTTAAACACCCAAGTGGAAAGTATAACAAAAGATTAAAGTCATCAGTATATTTCTTTGAGAGTTCAAGGGATTATACTTCCCAGATATTGG